GCGGGCATCCCCGCACGTGGGAGGTGTGGGAAGCTGGAGCGCTACCCTTTCTTCCCGTTGCGGAGTTGGGGGCGTCTTTGCACCTCCGCAGCCGCGGCCTCATTCCGAAAGAATCTATTTAAAGAATCTTTAAATGGGAGCGCATGAACAGAAAAGTGGGAGGCCCCTCCAGCCATACTAGACATATGGACTGAAGGGGCGCGCTCACCGTCACTCCCAAGCTGGGGGCAGGGGAGCAAGGATGGGGCGTCCTCGTCCCCACCCATGATGGCGGGCTATGCGTGAGGCGTCCTCGCCACCACTCCTAATACGGGGGCAGGAGGTAAGGGTCTTACTCGGCTCGTGAGGGGGGACCGACCACCCCCCCCAAGAGTGGAGGTGTGTGAAAGCCATGTGAGGGTTTCACGGCCCCCTCATTACCCTGGACCCCAGTCCAGGGCTTCTTCGCGTGTGCCCTGCTCCCCTACCCCGGGGTCTCCCTGAAGGCTGGTCCTGCCCCTCCGCGGCTCCTGGTGCTCTCCACCGCTCCCTGCTCAGGCAACCCCGACCTCTGAGTTCTAGTCTTGGGGGCAGGAGGGGTGAAGAGGGGGAGTTCTACACGAAGTGCATCTCTTCACCCTCTTCCTGGGTCAAGTTCGCCAGGCTTTATAGTAAGGCAGCGCTCCCAAGACTAGAGCCCGGGACCATGGACTGTGCCCTATGGGGGCCACCTCACCACCCTGGGTGGGCTGCCTGGTTTGCATAGAGACAGTGGCTTGCGCTGCTGGAACCGCTCTCCACTGAAGGCTGCATCAGGGAGGGAACAATGAGAAAGGGCAGCTGGAGAGCTGAAAGCTAGAAATAAGGAGGAACTTCCTCTTTCACCCAGGGGAGACTGCGGCAAGGACCCACTGCAAGTGGGGAGTGGCCACTGTCTTCCTCAAATCTTAAGGTCATTAATTCATTCAACACATATTTACCAAATGCCGTACATCCTGCGCTGTTTGTGATGCACTAATGGATGAGACAGACGGCCCTGTTATAAGTGAGAGAGAACCTGAACACAGAGCCAAATAAGATAATATCAAAGGATCACATGAAGAAAACACAATAGGGAGGTGTCATAGAAAGCTGGCATGGGGTAGTCCCGGAAGGCCTCTCCAAGGAGTGACAATCTGAGCTGAGACCTAGCAGATGAGAAGGAGCCAGCCGTCCCAGGGCCCTAGGGTGTGCAGGGTAGGGAGCTGCGTGGTCTGGGTTGTCACAGACAGTTGTCAGGGTCGTCCCTGGGAGTAGTTGGGAAGGCAGCTCCACAGACTTCTGGATACAGGGGGTGGGGATCCCAGGCCCCCAGAGCTGCTGGCCTCCAGTCCACCCAGGCCCACCCCTTCAGGCTCTCTGCTCTGGGAACCTCCCCCACCTCCTAGCCTCCCCGGGGTGGGGGCAGGGTCCCCTCCCCCTCTTCCTTTTCCCCTTGCAGGTTTTCGTATAACTCTGACTCCCCCCAGCAGCCTCCTTTTGATTTTTAAGAGCCTTGTTAGGAGGACAGAAAACTTCCTCTGCATTCCTGAGGCCCTAATTCCCCTCTGAGGACAGAAGGCCAGAAAATGTGTGTGTTGGGATGGGGGTGGTAGGGGGGAGTCCTAGGGGTAACACTGGGCCTGCCTGCCCGTCCCCAGGGGCCCCTCAGGCCTCTGTGTATCCTGGGCCGCTGATCGTGGGGACTGCAAGGGGCTTCCAGTGGGTCCTTTCTTGCCACCCCTTCCCCACTTTCCTAGAAAAATGCTTGGGAAAGTTTGAGTTCTGCTGATGAAGTTTTCAAGGACAGAAACTCCTGTATCTGCTCATCTGTTCTTCTTTTTTTTTTTTAATTTGAGGGGGTAGTTAGGTTTATTTGTTTTTAGAAGAGATACTGGGGATTGAACCCAGAACCTCGTGCATGCTAAGCATGCATTCTACCACTTGAACTATACCCTCCTCCCTGATCACCTGTTCTTGAAGATGCTTAGATGTGTATTCAAGGTGAAGGATGGGGTTTCTGTAGACCCCTATGTGGGGCATCTTCTCTGGGATCCTTAGCTCTCCCCCAGGAGGAGCCCCCCGAGGTGTTTTCCCTTTTTGATTCATTTCCAGGGGGCTAGCCAGCACCTCAGGGATCAGCTTCCATCTCCTCAGGATTCTGGGCACAGAAAACCTACCCTCAGGAGAGAGGCAGGGCAGGTGGTCAGGGCAGAATCCGGCCTGCCTGACTTGTGTGCATCAACCCCCGCCCTCCAACCCCTCAACCATGCAGATGGTACAGGAATGATTAGACACCTGCCAGGACTCCGAGCCTCCTCCCCAGGATTTACAGGGGCCTGTGGGGCTGAGCTCCGCGTCCTTGGCTCCCGGCTGGTGTGGTGGGTGTGGCGGGGGGCCCGGCCTGCTCTGCTTTTTGTTCTGACTTGTTCGCTTGCATACAACTTTGCCCTCTTCTTCCTGGAGGGTCTGGCGGGTGTGGGGTGTGGAAGCCCAAAGTGACTAAGCTTCTAGATCACGCTAGTGATGGGAACTTGCTAGATCTCTGCCGTCCAGTCTGGTGGCCACCAGTCGCACAGGGTCCTTGAACCCTTGAGATGTGGCTCGTGCAACTGAAGAACAGAATTGCACATTTTATTTATTACCTTTAATCTGAAATGGAATATTGCCTGGATTCCAACCTCAGCTCCTCTCACGGGACTGTGGGCAAATGACCCAGCTTCTCTGTGTCAGACAGGGGGAGGGGGCCAGGTGTGACGCGATACCCTCTGTGGTGTGTGGTCCAGGTGAGGCCTGGAGTCACACAGGGACGGAGGCTTGGTAACATACCAGACTCATCTGGTCCTGGTCCTACTTGGGGCTCAAAAATTTGCATTTCCAACGGGCTGGGGCTGGGAGGCTGGGGGCCAGAGGCTGTGTGCCTCCAACAGCGCCCCTCTTGTTCATGTGCAACAAACCAGGGTCCCTGAGGGTGGGCTCCTTTAACGCCCTGCCCCACCTCCCCGGCAGCGTGGCTCTCAATGACATTGACTTCCTCCCTCTTCTCCCCAGCCTCTCACTAGCTCCTCCCAGGCCCCTGGGGCTCAGGGCTCAGGGTTCCAGTCTGCAGCCGGCCCAGGTCTCTCCTTCTGCCTCCTCCCATCCCTGAGGACTCCAATCAGGGAAATGGGACCCCTTCCCAAGGGCAGGACGCTGTCAGAGAGAAGCCTCTCCCCACCCTCAGCCTACCTTGAAAGTGCTGGCCCACTGCTGTGTGGCCTGAAGCCCAGCCTTCACTTGGTTCCCACTCCCAGAGCCAGGTCCTCACCTGGTCACCACCTGCAGCCCAGACCCTCACCCAGTCACCACACACAGTAGAGCGCCCGCCCCCGCAGAGCTCTGAAAGCCATTGTTGGAAATGGCTTGCTTCCAGGGTGGCCCATAGGCTCACATCAGTCTTCTCTGTTCCGGTTAGCTTTAGAGTCCCTGCTTTTCTGTAAGGCTCAGAGCAAAGTTAATTGATGTGGAATTGTATTCAAAATTCAATGTGCCCTCACAGCTCTGATTCAGGCCCTATAAATCATCAGAGCCGGAAGCCCTTTGGGGTTCAGACACACTTTTTACTTGTAGGATGACAGCCAGAAAATGAATTCTGGCTAACAGGCCAGCCCTGGTGCCACATCTGTGAGCCAGCTCTTTGCTCCATCATGGTGGTTTGGTTTCAGCCTTCTCAGTATCCATCCCACCTCTTTCTGGCTATGTAGCCTACTTCCAGGGATGCAGTCTTGGGGAGGTGGACAGCTCACTGAGATGCTCCTCGCTTTCCTGGCTCAGGAACGGGCAGATGTCCTAGCTCCCGTCACGATAATGCTGTGTGACAAACAGCCCCCAGAATCTCTGTGTCTTAGAATATCAACTCTTTCTTTCTTTCCCACAAGGCTGTGGGTTTCTAGAGGGGCTCTGCGTCAGACTATGGGTCAAGTTCAGGTCTGTCTCAAGGCTCTGTCTCTGGGATTCAGGCTGCAAGAAGTAAGCCACCTGAGGCATCTTCACGGGGCCGAGCCATGCCGCACGGGCACATGGAAAGCCT